GAATTCTGGGAGTTGAAGTCCACACATCTTCAAGTTGCCAAGGTTGAGAAATGCTGATATATAGTTATAGGCCTTCAGCACTGGAGCACTTCTTGATGGACCGTCCAACATTGCCACATTTATGCTTGTCAATAGGTTTGCTGTACTGATGCAAATGGCACATTCTGGACACTAAAAGAAAACCCAGGAGTTCTCTGGCTAACCATACAATTCATCCAGAATATGTAGATCCCATGTTTATAGCTAGGTCCTCTGAGTCCATTAAGACATCACATTTTGTTCCCTGTGGTAGCTACGGCAGATTGTTGTGTGGAACAGTGCCACTCTGCTGTCTCCCGAGTTCAGGCACAATTTCTCCTCGTTGCTTTTTGATGGCAGTGAATCATACACACCAGCTTGCGATAATCCCAGTGCTCTGCTTCCTCCAATTTGGGCCATGAATCTCTCTCGTGGTCACTCAACTTGTGCATTTACCCCTCTCCAGATTCAGATTCCCGGTCTGAACTTTTTCACATGGAGTCCGACTTTGGCGAGGTTCTGATTAAGTTGGTAAAAGGAAAACGTTTCATCTTGGAAATGTCAGGTTGGGAATTTGGATGAGAGGGAGTTGTGCATAATTCGAATTATACATTCACCCATGGATAGACCCATATCATAGCAGACATATGGTTCTATAGGTGGTCTCACAGAGTTACGCCATAGACGTCAACAAGCTCCCCCCAAATTACTTCACCCAACCTCTTTGATGGCACAAATCAGCCAACTTTGGTCTGAAAGGTGGTGAATCTCCTTCTGATCTGGGATTTCTGCAGCTGAGCCAATTAACTTTCAGTTCAGGTCCTGCTCCAGAAGATACATTGCAAAGCATTGCAGAATTTCTTCTGGAGCTACAGAATGGTCAGTTTCTCACTGCTGGGGACGTGCATTTCATCCCTTTTCCTGGCACCCTGCTGCCATTCTCCCTGTCTTGAGCAGAGGTGGCTCTACCACATGCCCCATTCATTGGCATTTTGATTTCCTTTTTCAACGCTGATGAAATAGATGTGGCAAAGTTAAGAACAAGGATGGGGAAGGGGACAAAGGGCTGTTGCTGTTTCATGAGCCCTTCCCTTGGCCAGGCAGAGAGAGCATTGTATAAGATGGTGGCAACACCACCAGGGAGGACCTTTGCAGGGAGCACAAGACAGCTTTAAAGTGATATGTGTGTGGAAATATCTGAGTTCTCCTAACAAGATCTAATCAGGAAGTCAAAGCCGTACTCTTTCTAGAAGGAACTTTGTTCTGAAATACAAAATTCAACTCAAGTAGATGAGCAGGCAATTAGCCATGCCTTTACTTGGAATTCTGTGTATGTGATTGTTGCTTCCTCAGAAGTAAACCTTATTTTATATTTGCATATCGGGCTCGATTACTATTTCCGGTTAGTGTTTAAAACGGGAATTTCTCACTACATCTTTGCTCTGTGGTGTAGGGCTTTGTGGTGGTAAAGTTCTTCCCAGAAAGATTTAGGTTTTCACAATGTTAATAAAATATTACGGTGGTTTTTAAACTGTAAGCAAGAGATGCCAAAGGCTTTTTATGTCTTGTTAGAGCTGGCTAGAGGGAGAACATTATGGCAAGAGGGCTTAGACATGGATATACAGGAAAGCTATCCGAAAACTGGCAAGACAGGATTGCTATCTGTCAATTAATCCTGAGAAATTTCCTTTAAAAGAACACTTCCTCTAACAAAATGTATCTGTGTCAAAAGAAATTCTCAATGAACAGAAATGAAGCTTTCAGAATAGGTTATGTTTAGCCTGGAGAACGGAAGATTAAACAATAGTAGGGAACACGGCTGTTTTCAAGTATCTGAAGGACCACCCTAGAAAATGAAACAAGTAGCCACATTCACATCACACTTACCAGGTCAAAGACCCTCAGGGGTATCTGCAAAGAGGGTCAAAAAAGTCAAGATGGTGCCACAACCATGGGATCAAAAAGGATGGGGCTTTGATTATGTGGTTGTGGCTGTCTTGACTTTTTTTAACCCTCTTTGAAGAAACTCCTGGGTGTCATCCAAACCTAGTAGCCTATGTGTTTCTGTGTTAAGACTGAGAGCAACCCTCCCTCTAAAACATGCAAGATTAGTTGCTGAGTGACTCATCTATAGTTTCCCATGTAATCTAAATGTAGAAGAAATTAGCCCTGTCTGAGAGCCTCTAGCAGAGGCAGAAGGCTAAAGTGACCCCATAAAATGAAGATTTTCCAGTTGTAGTAGCTCTGATTTTGTTTTTAGTTTATTTTAGGGTAAAACAGGCCCTCCACTCTTCTACCCCCAGTGCCTCTTTCTGAGTCTGGCCAGTATATGTGTGTGAATTTGTTCATCTGGCACTGGATCACTGGGTCAGTCAGGTACCTAGGAGTAATGCCAATGTGCATTTTCTGTCCCTCTAAAAATCAGGATTAAGAACGTAAGAATGCAAGCAGTGCCTTACTGGATTGGACCCCCTGGCCTATCTAGTCCAGCAATCTGTTCTTTCAGTGGCCAACCAGCTGCACAAGGAAGGCCTAGTCTCCCAGCAGATGACCTTCAGAGGCAGTCCCACCGCCATCAAGGCAGTCATTGATCCCCAACGATTAAGGCCATTGGTTGTAAGCAACAAATAGAGATCAGGCAGTAGATTTTGGCTGAACATGGGGAGAAACTCTTTTAATGGTGAGAGTTGGTTGACAGCGGCACTGGCTGCTTTATGAGGTAGTAGGTGCTCCTCTGCCGGAAGAACTTAGTAAGTTTTATGGTTTGGCCATCGGTTAATATAGCTACAGAAGCATCTTGCCTTGTGGACTTTGTCTTGTGCAGAGGATGGGACTAGATGGTCTTTAAGTCTAAAACTCATCTATGAACTGAATCTGGCTGAACACTCGCCCTCCTATGCAGTAGTCCCAGCTACTTTCTGGTAATACTTCAAAACAAACAGAAGACCCAGCTTGGGAAATGCATCAGTAAATGTTGTATACTAAACTTGGTTAACTAGGCCAGTTAAAGATTTAGAGTTGCGTTTGCACCATGTGCTAAATTTGGTTGCTGTCATCTTGGGTTAAATATTTTCATCATTTAGCCCGTTGAATGAAGCCAGCCTGCCTGGATAGTTCGTAGTTCAGTTTGTGGTTACAGTGCAAATGAAGAAATGGATGAATGCGTCCTTTTTCTGAGTAACCTAATGGACGCATTCACACAATACATTTAAGCTTAAGTAGAGAAACTTGATTGTAAACAGATTAACTGTAATATGATAGATATATATCCAGGATGTTTGCTTGAACTATCCCTCTTGGAGAATGCAAGACAAGCTTTGCCGGATCCTGTTTCCCACAGTGGCAAATCAGATGCTTTGTGAACATTTCCCAGCATGGCAGTACAGTAGCCCTTTCAGACTGTTGTCTCCAAGCAACTGGAGTTGAAAGGTTTATTTATTTATAGTTTATTTATTAAAAGTATTTTTATACTGTTGCTTATTGCAAAGAATCCTGAAGTGGTTTATAAATCTGTCAAATTTTAGATTTAAAAATCAAAATTAAAAGTACTCCATCAAAAAACACTAAGGAAAGTTAATGGCTGGAGAAAGCCAACTTTAAAAAGTGAGTTTTAAAAAGATACCTAAAACACATTAGTGTTGGGTCTGGTGTATTGCAGAGGGAAGGCCATGCCAAAGGACAGGTGTACTGCCTCAGGCCATTGAGGCTTCATTTAGCTGCCCTTAATTTGTAATATTGTATTTAGAAGCCATCTGGGGCAGGAATATGCTCACTTCAGCTGGTCGGATTATGTTCTGTTTTACTGGGATTCAGTGAGTAGCCGACCAGAGCCAGATGCAAAGGGCTGAGTGTATTTTGAACCTAGGAATTTGTTTTCAGTACTAAAACTGAGGTGAGCTCACAGCCCTTTCAGGCAAAAATCCATAAACCACATGATCTTAATCAAAAGTAGTAGGGCATTACTACAAATGATGGCATATATCTCACAAATGAACTAAGTCTTGTGTGCAGAAAATTTGTCTTGTCTTGAGTCTACTGCTTAGTCATTCCACTGAGTGTTCTAATGTGACAAGAGAGAGAGAGAAAAAAATCTGCTTATGAGGTACCATGCATAATTTGATAAATTTCCTGTCATGCCCTCTTAATCATATTTTTTTTTCGTACATGCTTTTTCCATCTCTATATTTATCTATTCTCTCTTTGGACAGCAGTGATTTTGACAGAGCAAAACCAATCTAGAGTACATTGGCTAAGGAGACAAGAGGGAGACCCTATTCAGTTGGTCCATCCTAGGTGACTAATGACTCCAGATGGGCTTCAGAGGGAGTTTGGGTTTATTTCCTCTAGATCTGGTGGGCAATTTGACTAAGGCCTTGGTCTTTGCCCAAAATAGGCATGTGACAAGGGCCTTGGATTAGATTACTCCTACGAGTCCTCTTCCCATTCATTGATCATATGTGGCTCCTTGCCTTTCTGAGGAACTTTAGGTGATGGAACAACAGAAGAGATGCTGTTGGAGAAACATGAAGAGCGAATCCAACCAAGCATGCATAAGAGCCCAAACTCAACCCTGATGAGGCTGAGTGGCTGTGGGTACATGGCTCTTCTGGTGCCAGTGATTTTCCATCATTGGTTCTGAATGGGATGGCATTCCCCCTTCAGAGCTGGTGTGCACTTTGCAGTCCTCCTGAATTCACAGCCCCTGCTCCATGAACGCGTAGCAGCTGTAGTCAAGAGGGCCTTTGCACAGATTCATCTGGTGCGCCAACTGGGCCCCTTCCTGGACTGGGAATCTCTCTTCACAGCCCTTCATGCTTTGGTCACTTCACACATGGACTTTTGCAATGTGCTCTACATAGGGCTACACTTGAAGGTTTCCTGGAAGCTGCGGCTGGTCTAAAATGCAGCAATCTCAACAGTTATGAGTAACTGCTCTGTTACTCATAAGTCTGTTACACCTCTGTTATGTGAGCTATACTGATTACCAATGAGTGCGATGAAAGGTGCTAGTTATCACCTATAAAGCCTTTCATTGTATAGGGAATGGCTATTAAGGGACTACCCATCTCCCATCATGTCTGTCTGTCCTGTAAGGTCTGACTGTAATGAAATGTGGGAAAGTAAAGGGGATGGGGGGAGAGAAGTACTTTCATTGCAAGACTCTCTCAATGTAGCTTTACAATAAAGTAGAATTAGCTCATCTGGTTGTGATTCCTACCTGGTTTACCCCATGAGGCCAACATCAATCGTGCAAGTCTGAAAGTACAATCCTCCCCGCACCCTGCTGTCTCCTTTACAGCCTGAGAAACTAGGGACGGTCCCTTCTGAGACTCTTGCCCCTCCCATTATCCAGCT